GAATGTATTTCTTGACAAAAAATAATGTAGAAGTTATGTCTTCTTTGTCTATGATTTGTGCTAATACCTCCTGTTCAAAATGTAATAACATGTTGGTATATTTCTGTATATTTTAGTATGAACTTGTGTATAATAGTATAAATCTAAAAATATTGAACTTCATGTATGATTGTTTTTTTTTGTGTCATTTGTAAATTTGTGATCAGAAATGATATTGCAATAAAGAGTAATTGAATGACAGCCCTTTAACTATAGATAGTGATCATTGAAATGTTTTAATAGGCTTGAAGGCTATTTAATACTAATATTAGTTTCAAGGGTAGATAATAAAATGTTCATTAAAAAGTCAAGTACCGTATTTAGTGTAAAAAAGTTTAAAAACCGTGGCATATATATTGAATAAATGGAACAATTAAATCAAAATGTTGATGCTATTTGATAACAACAGTATTTTTCTTCTAACTTTTCTAATTAAAGTGAAGAGGCTGATTAGCTACTTTTTCCAATTTCTGAAAGTTTTACTTGCAAACCTAAATAAATGGTAAAGAAAACCCCTTTTCTTTGAAATTCTTTCTAAGTGCAATTATCAAACTGTTTATACACATTGATACAGATGAAATGAGAAAGAGGACAACACTTCTGCAACAGGGGAGTGAGGCTAGACTGTATGTCATCTGCTTAATCAGTTTTCAAAGTAGAAATGAAAGTCAATTCTTGGAGTCTTTTAGTGATTGTGAATGAATTGCTTGATGCAAAATCACTATTTTGATTTGAAAGTCAGTCTGTAACCAAGGTTATGACAATCAGTTAGTTACCATTTCTAGAGATATCCCCCAAACGGTAGTGAGTATATTTGGACATTCATTTCTTTGAAATATACTTTGAAGTCAAGTAGTGAAATGTTGTGTTGTGTAATAAAATGACTGCCTCTATATATGGTAACTGTCAAATTACATTTCTGTCTTGTCATTTCCATGTCATTTGCATTTTGTCAAATAATAATTACATAATTTTACACTATTATGAGATAAAAGGTTGTAAGGTCAAAAGGTAACTTGTGATTAGGATAGAATTTTAGATAATGAAGGAAGTTTACATTGAGCAGAAATCTATGGATAAGATAAAAGCTACAATAAAAGTTGAGTATAGTTGTACAGATTTTATTGTTTTAACATTATGGAATGATATGGAAACATTTCCTTGTGAGTATGCCATTTTTAAATAATATAAAAAATTGAATTCAGAATTTTATAAAATGTTGTTTAATCTGTTTACCTAATCATTACAATAATTTTTCTGGTAGTTTCGAGCAATGAAGAAATGAAAATTAGTTGATTACATTCTGGTATAAGAACTTATTGAAAAAAGTAATGGACAAATGTTTAGTAGAAATTGTTAAATGTGATTTTATTAGGGAAACAATAAATTAAAAATTGTTTTTAATTCCTTGAAAATATATAATTATATTGTAGCAACAATAATTCAACAAAACACAAGGAAAGAAAGCACAGTAATTGCATTAAAAAATAAGCAATTCTGTTTACATTAGCCAGCTCTTTAAAGACTATAAAATTCTCTAAGGTTCTTCTGTTTACATTAGCCAGCTCTTTAAAGACTATAAAATTCTCTAAGGTTCTTCTGTTTACATTAGCCAGCTCTTTAAAGACTATAAAATTCTCTAAGGTTCTTCTGTTTACATTAGCCAGCTCTTTAAAGACTATAAAATTCTCTAAGGTTCTTCTGTTTACATTAGCCAGCTCTTTAAAGACTATAAAATTCTCTAAGGTTCTTCTGTTTACATTAGCCAGCTCTTTAAAGACTATAAAATTCTCTAAGGTTCTTCTGTTTACATTAGCCAGCTCTTTAAAGACTATAAAATTCCTTAAGGTTCTTCTGTTTACATTAGCCAGCTCTTTAAAGACTATAAAATTCCTGAAGGTTCTTCTGTTTACATTAGCCAGCTCTTTAAAGACTATAAAATTCCTTAAGGTTCTTCTGTTTACATTAGCCAGCTCTTTAAAGACTATAAAATTCCTTAAGGTTCTTCTGGTACATTAGCCAGCTCTTTAAAGACTATAGAATTCCCTAAGGTTCTTCTGTTATATTAGCCAGCTCTTTTTAAAGATTATAAAATACCTTAAGGTTCTTCTGTTATATTAGCCAGCTCTTTTTAAAGACTATAAAATACCTTAAGGTTGTCGTTTGTTTCTGTCTGGAATATATGTTTTTAGTATCATACGTCACGAGTTTGATTTTCTCTATGAAGCCACGCAGGGGCCATAATAGCTTACAATTTTTTTTATATGTGGTACAGATTTTGCTCATTGTTGAAGGTTGTTTGGTGACCTATAGTTGTTTACATCCATGTTCTTTGGTCTTTGGTGGAAAGTTGTCTCATTAGCAATCATACTACATCTCCTTATTATTATAAAAAAAACAATTAAAAAACAACCAAGCAACCACCTACAAAATAAATGACTGTGACACAAGACATGGTAGAAAAATTGGCCCATACAAAAAAAAGGCTCAGTTATGTATGAATATATGAAGATTTTAACTGATACAATATGAGACAGCAACTCAATAACCAAAAAGAAAAGACGTCTAAACGTCAAAATTTGTTGTTTTTTGTTGTTGTTGGTAGTATGACTCTTTATAAGTAATTTGTTTTAAATGGAGTTTATAAGTAATTTGTTCTTAACATTGTTCCATGGTAATTATAGTAATAAAAATCCATATTCAAAACAATTTTTTTTAAACAATTATTCCTAGTAAGTAGGTGTTCCAAATTGTTCTAATTTCATGAAATAGACAATCGTTGGAAAGGATTGTAAGAATAATTTTTATTTTACTGCACTTGCTTCATTCTAATAAACTTTGACTTTCAATGAGCTAAAATGTTTTACCAGTTGATTAGTTTCAAGATATGAATTACAACTGCAATTTGAAAAACCGTTTAGCAAATAGTTATTATAACAGGACAATGCCTTTGGAATATGTACTCTAACAATATATTCAACTATAGTTGGTGAATGGAACAATTTCGAGGTGTACATGTCTGTCTGGCTGGGTTCCTCTGACCATGACCTTATTTTCATGGTTCATTGGTCAAAGTTAAATTTTCATGGTAAGGCCTGTTTCTCAGGTACAATAACGAAATGTCAACTGTATTTGATGTATGGAATGATTGTATGATGCACATTTCTGCATAGGAGGATAATCTTACCTTGACCTCATTTTTGTGGTTCAAATGACAGGTCAGCATTATGCTTTCTTGGTTAAGTGTTTTTGAGATACTATAAGTAAAATTGTTTTTTAGATGCTATAAGTAAAATGTTTACTATATTTGGTGTATGGAATGATTGTAAGGTGTATATGTCTGTCTGACATGATTCATCTGACCTTGAATTTACATGAATTATTGATATTGTGCAATTTATGTTATACAAGCTAATAGTTTTACCTTTTTCTTTCAAATTTTCATCATAAATTCAATCATGATCAATAAATCAGGCGAGACATTTTAGTGTGTACACTCTTGTTTGTTGTACCACTGTTTGCAGATGCAGATCCAGTATTTTGAAAAAAGAAGGGGAGGGCTGTGGGCCCCCAAACTAGACAAAATTTGTAGTGGAACTGGTAAAAAGTCTAGATTAACCAGAAATGAAGCTCCAGAAAGTTTCATACTTTTTATAGCAATGGTCATACAGACAGATATCATATTGTAATCACTGTCAAATACAGGATTTTTAGCTCACCTGGCCCGAAGTGAGCTTTTCTCATCACTTGGCGTCCGTCGTCCATCGTCGTTAGCTTTTTACAAAAATCTTCTCCTCTGAAACCACTGGGCCAAATTTAACCAAACTTGGCCACACTCATCATTAGGGTATCTAGTTTAAAAAATGTGTCCGATGACCCCGCCAACCAACCAAGATGGCCGCTATGGCTAAAAATAGAACATAGGGGTAAAATGTAGATTTTGGCTTATATCACTGAAACCAAAGCATTTAGATTAAATCTGACAGAGGGTAAAACTGATTATCAGGTCAAGATCTATCTGCCCTGAAATTTTCAGACAAATCTGACAACCTGTTGTTGGGTTGCTGCCCCGGAATTGGTAATTTTAAGGAAGATTTGCAGTTTTTGGTTATTATCTTGAATATTATTATAGATAGAGATAAACTGTAAACAGCAATAATGTTCAGCAAAGTAAGATCTACAAATAAGTTGTAATGACCAAAATTGTCAGTCGACCCCTTTAGGAGTTATTGCCCTTAATAGTCAATTTTTAACAATTTTTCGTAAATTTTTGTAATCTTTTACAAAAATCTTCTTCTCTGAAACTACTGAGACAAATTTAACCATACTTGGCCATCATCATTATTAGGGTATCTAGTTTTAAAAATTTGTCCGATGACCCCGCCTTCCAACCATCATGGCCGACTTGGTTAAAAATAGAACATAGGGGTAAAATGCAGTTTTTGGTTTATATCTCTGAAACTAAAGCATTTAGAGCAAAGCTGACAGGTGGCAAAAATGTTCATCAGATTTAGATTTATCTGCCCTGGAATTTTCAGACGAATCCGACAAACCGTTGTTGGGTTGCTGCCCCTGAAGTAGTAATTTTACAAAAATTTTGCAGTTTTTTGTTATTATCTTAGATATCATTATAATATCTAATATCTAATACTATTAATTATGATTTTAACCTTAATTTACATGATTTCCAAAGCATCAGTAAATACAGGTGAGCGACACAGGCTCTTGAGAGCCTCTAGTTTAGTAATAGTCTTCTCTTTATTCTTGATTGGCACGTTGTTTTAGACACCTTAGAATATTGTCTGTTTATTTATGATAAAATACACAAAATTGTATAAATATTATAATATGTAAGGTATTTGTCATTGAAAGTAGGTAACTTTATATGAACAGATAAAATAACTATCACATTGTCAATTGTTTGTGGAAGACATTTAAAACCTGTATGTTTTTTTTTCTAGATAATCAAGGCAGAGTTATGTTATACTGAGTAAAACAGTTTGGGACATTAAAGCTATGGAAACATCATATTCCAGAAAACTGTACAAGGATTTATTTCAGAAGGAATTACTTGTTTCGATACAATATAACTATCCCTGATTATAGAATTTACATAATTTGTGTGTTTTTAACTGTGCTTTAAACACCTGTGACTTTTTAGTGATTTATAGTTTTTAAACAATTTTTAAATTCTTAAAATGGAGTTAAAAGTGAGAGTGGATGGAATTCCAAGAATTGTTTGTGGTGTTACTGAAAATACAACTTGTCAGGACATTGTTATAGCACTAGCTCATGCTATGGGAAGGACAGGAACATTTACATTGATTGAAAAGTGGCGGGACAATGAGCGCCCTCTTAACAAAGCAGAATTCCCGGTGAAGGTTTTGCAAAAATGGGGAGAATATGCTAATGAAGTGCAGCTACTTCTTCAGCTATCTGATCAGACTAAAAAAGAATTACAAAAGGGTAAGGACCAGGTGAAATCCAAAGAAAACTTTAAACATAATTTTACCCCACCACTTCAAAAGGAGGGACCAGTTCGTAGATCATTAACATTTAGCGGTGCACATAATGTTGCAAACCCATCTGTCAAACGGAAAAACGAACAACAGAAACATTCATGTAAACTTCAAAACATTTCAGAGAAAGAAAATATTGGTGATGTCTCATTGACACAGAGCCTCCCAACTTACAGATTTATGAATTCATCAAAACAGAGAGTAGATAGACAACCCCCATTGCTTTTTAACTCACCTCCCCCAGCGCCTCACCAGGCAAGTCATCATCCATATGCCCAAGTTAGAAATATTTCGAGGAATCAAAATGTGTCAGAGCCACAGATTGCACAGCATCATCACCCTCCTTCTCAGCCACATATACCTCAGGAGGAGACAACTCAATATGCAAATCAGCAAAAGCCAGATTATTTAAATCGGCCTGATAATCATACACATCAGCATGCTCATCATGGAGAAAGAAATGACATATCTGGAAAGTACAAACATTTTAATGGAGAATTAGAGAAAACAGTAAATCAAGGACCACATCAAAACAAATACTCACCTGTGCACACACGCACAGGAAGTAGTCCTGCAAGAAATTCTCCTAACAAAATAGCCTCTCCTGTTTCACCAACAGACTCAAGGGGGCAAAGTCCAAATCTTTCATTGTATAATAGAAATAGACAATCAGCATTCTCACCTGTTATTCCTCGTCAAAAATCTCCTAATAGTCCAAAAACTTTAGTTAATGGAGACTTAGATTTTCGTGTATATAGCCCAGAACAGGAAAGTTCTGATGTTGTAGAATATGATTTAGATAGCAATTTCCCTGACTTATACTCAGGTAAAAAAAAAGATCAAGTGGTTGAGGAATACTATATGCCCGGTGAAAAACTTGCTTCTCCAATTAAGGAAGTTTGTCAAGATGATTCAGAGCTTGTCAAAATGCAAGAGCTTGTGACGAGACAACAAGAGCGAATCAAACATCAGGAATCACAGCTTGAAGTCATAGATTCAGGTATACATTAATTACTTAATTCATGTGTACAAGTCAGTTCTATATTATGGTATGCAATTATTACTAAATTCATGTGTACAAGTCAGTTCTAGTTTATTGTATTATTGAAGGCCCAACAGGCACCATGACAAAATGTCAAACAATACAAAACAGAAAACAAATATGACAGACAGCAACCAACCACAACAACTGAATTTAAGGCTCTTGACTTGGGACAAAGAGGTTGACATATTCTATCAGGGCTACAAGTTTTATGAAAATTAGCATGTTGTTTCTGTCATCTGTACTAAGATGCTTTTCCTTGTGTGTTTATACTGCATATCATGTTCAATTGTTTATTTTTTATTTTTCCACATTGGAGACTGTGGAATTGCCTACTAAAATAAGGATTAATTAAAAACTTTTATTCTGTTACTATAATTATAGTATAGATGGTTTTTGTCTCGCCAACAATGTATTAGTTTGTGATAAGGTCTAGTTTATGGTGAACCACTAGTGGTAGGTCAGTGATATTAGGTATGCAGTTGTATAAGCATTGGCATATCTCATTTCCATTCCGATTATTTGGCTCCGCCCCCTCAGTCATGGTCTATTGACTTTGAAACTTTTGCTTAGTTTACATGTATTAGTTTGTGATTACCGGTTGCTCAGTTCAAGGGGAACCATTAGTGGTAGGCCAATGATAATTGGTATGCAGTTGTATAAGCATTAGCACATCTCATTTCCTGGTCTGGTTTTCAAATTGGTGCACATTAAGGTCCAAAGGGTCCAAAATTAAAATTTGTTTTATTTCACAAAAATTGAATTCTTGGGGTTCTTTCATATGCTAAATCTAACCATGTATTTAGATTTTAGATATTGGACCATAATAGGTAAATGTCCAATTTCAAATTTTTAAGTTCTTAGAGCACATTCATTCTGCGTCAGAAACCTATGCTGTGTCAAATATTTAATGACAATCCAAATTCAGAGCAGTATCAATCTTGAATGTTGTGTCAAACTGTACAGGGTTCGACCTCTGCGGTCGTATCAAGCTGCGTCCTGCAGAGCATTTTTTAAATATTAGATATAAATGTAATTAAAAAAGAATGATGATAAGATAACAACTGCATATTATATAAATAAGGAGATGTGGTTTGATTGCCAATAAGACAACTAACCATCAGACCCAATTTCAGCTGAAAATTTGTTAAAATCATTTGTACTTGTTAGGTCCATGGTTTACCCCTAGTTCTAGTGCAGTAAAAAGCACCTTCTTTCTTTCCACAGAAATTACAACTTTAGAGAAAAAAGATATAGAGCAGGCAAATGAACTGATACAGATTGCTGATGACAAAAGTAAACTGGAACAAAAGCGCAAACAGTTTGAAACTGAGCTTTCGAAATTAGAATCTACAAAATGGGTTGATTTAGTACAAGCTGAGAGACAAGCAGAAGCCAAAATTAGAAGTGAAATTTTAGAATTTAAATCTCAGACTACAAAAGTGGGCTCAGAATTAAAAAACTTGCAAAATAAATTAAATTCACTGGAAAAAGACATTGAAAACGAGAAAAATGAATTAAAAGAAGAAAAGGAAAAACAAGAATTAGAAGAAAAACAATTGACAGAGGAAGTAGAGAAAGTAAAAATTGAAATGAAGACCTTGTCAGATACAGGTGATGCAGATAAATTATTAATTGTGAACATTGAAAATGAATTGAAAGAATTGAGTGAAGAATTGGATCGAAAGAAGGATGAAGTAGTACAATTAGAGAAAAAACTGAAAGATGCCAATATGAGAGAATTTAAACAAGTCACACCAATGGGAAGTGATAAAGGAAAACCATCTGACAGTGGAGAGGGTAAATTAATTAAACCAAAATACTTTTGTACTTATATTTTTTACAGAACATGAACTTTTCCCGATATTTACCAGGTCTGTGCATAAAAAGTAACACACAATATAGTTAATGGATTAAAACAAAGATTACAAAAATAATTAAATGTTGATTTTTTTTTTACCCATTTTTGCAATTATCTATTACTTTTAAAAGATGGAGAGGATTTCACTGCAGTAAAAATGAGTGAACATATGATAACCAAAATTGTCAATGACTCCATATGGGAGTAAATTGTCCTTCTCATGCAACTTTTGGAGATCAAGCATATTTGTGCTCCATACTACCATAGTCTGTATCAATGCAGTCAATTATTTGAAATGCCCCTCAAGTTTGTTGAGTTCATTTTATTTCTTATGCATGCTATTTAGAATGCTAGTTCCATCAACATCTACAGAAAAAAAACAGCATTAAAATTTTAAAAAAGGCATGTTTCCTGCATTTAAAATCCTTAGTAAACATTATTTTAGTTCATACATGTGTGTGTAGAAACAGTGTTTGCATGTTTCAGTAAACAAATCATTATGTTTTGTTAGGGTACCCCAGAAATTTGATAAAGGTAATTGTGGTGTTAGTAAATTGTTTGTGGTGTGTATATTAGGTTAGATATCACACACTTCATGTCATCAGCTCAATATATATGTTATCACAAATAATCAGTTTTCTAGGGTAAATAATAAATCTTTACATGAAACTTTGAACAAGTAGCTTTTAGGAGGGAACCAGGAAATACGAACAAAAAAGTTTTAACTACATTTCCGTTCACAGTCAGTGTGTTTCTTTTTATTCCAATAAATTCCTAAAATTTCAGCAAGCAATTAGATATTAGGGTTAGTCCAATGATTTAATGCTAGTTGTTGTTATTCAATATTGGACAAAAACACCAAAAAATGAGCTAGACAAACTCATGTGTGAAATATTAGCTGTTTTGAAACTTACAGATCATTGAATATAAATTGAACTGCTGTATTGAAGTTTGTGATAATTTTCTTTGTTGATATTGAAGTAGATATAGTAAAATGTATACTTATATGATTTTATGCTTTCCCTAAGTACATATTTAAAACCCACAAAAAGGTTATACACAGGTTTACCTCTGTCTGTCTGTCCGTATCATAATTATCACATTTGTCCCAGCAACAACAAATCAAGGCTTCTTGCTATTTTGGTACAAATAATCTTCATTCAGGTATTGGTAAGCTTTACTGTGTGACATATTTTCAGATCCATCGCATATTTACTTCCAGTTTGCAGCATACATGTAAGTTCTATATGATGATGCGCATTACGGAAATTTTTGTCACTTTTTAACCAGATTTTCGAAGGAAATATCGGTTATTAAAATGGTTATATACAGCAGGCCGCTGGACGGCTCTGGCGGCTGCCAAACAGCGTCCACACAATAACATGAAAATGCTTTAACAAATTTTTTTCAAATTTAATTACCGGTATGTTGTTTCCTTGGACTTAATGAAGGTCTCTATTAATTTTCAAGATTTTAGTATATCTCCTTTGTGAGTTTTCTTCATTTTTAATATCCAAAAGTAGAATTTTTAAATATTTTACTGTTGTTATCTTTTTATGATTTATCTTATCTCAGAATAAAAATTGGAGTGACAGATTTATTTGAAAATGATCTATTTCCTAAGTGGGAGTGAAAATTATCTATTTCCTAAGCTATATCATTAGACATTTTGAAGATTATTACATTATTAATTATGTTAGAGTACTATGTTAAACAACCATAGTTCTGTTCAATTAGATATTATAAAGATTTCAGCATATGATAATGATTTATTTTCATTATTAATTAGATCTTTGAATTATTTTAGCATATGATAATCATTGGAGTGACAGATTTATTTGAAAATTTACTGTTTTCTGATTGAAATATAGGGGAAGTCCATTGGGGTAACCCCTACCCCCTTTTTTTTGATAACTTGTAAACGGTCAAGATTCCCACCGAGAAACCATATATATTCTTGTATGGGACAATATATCAAATCAAATGAAATATAGGGGAAGTCCACGGGGGTAAACCCTACCCCCTTCTTTTTGAAAACTTGTAAACGGTTGAGATCCCCACCCCTAAACCATATATGTACTTGTATGGGACAATAAATTAAAGCAAATTAAATTTAGGGGAAGTCCCCTGGGGTAACCCCTACTCTCCTGTATTTTGAAAACTTGTAAATGGTCAAGATCCCCACGGCGAAACCATATATATTCTTGTATGTTACAATAAAACAAATGAAATGAAATAAAAGGTGAGTTCCTTGGGGTCATTCCCACCTTCTTCCTGTTTAAGAACTTGTAAATGGTTGAGATCCCCGCCCCTAAACCATATATATCCTTGTATGGGACAAAAAAACAAATCATATGAACTAAAGGGCAGGTCTCCTGGGAAAATTAATCAGTTTGTGTTTGTTATACTTGAACATAAATTAAATATATATAGGGTTCTTTAAGTGCTGGATCGAAACTTGTTTTTAATTAGATAATAATCTATTTTTATTATGAGATAAAGTTTTTTAGACATTGATAGATAAGTTGCAGATCTGTATTATTTTTTGACACTTGAAAGAAACAATATTAGCAACTATTAATTAAATTTGATTTTAATATGGAAATAGATATAACATGATATCTGATTTTAGAGAAGTATTTTGCTGGTTTTTTATACGACCGCAAAAAAATTTTTGTGGTCGTATATTGGTATGACGTTGGCGTCGTCGTCGTCCGAAGACGCATTAGTTTTCGCACTCTAACTTTAGTTTAAGTGAATGGATCTCTATGAAATTTTACCATAAGGTTCAATACCACAAAAGGAAGGTGGGGATTGATTTTGGGGGTTATGGTACCAACAGTTAAGGAATTAGGGGCCAAAAATAAGCATTTTCTAGTTTCCAGACAATAACTGTGGAACGGTGTATGGATCTCTCTGAAATTATACTACAAGTTTCCATACCACAAAGGGATGGTTAGGATTTGCTTTGAGGGGTTATGGCTCAAACCGTTTAAGAATTAGGGGCAAAAAAGGGGGAAAAACAAGGTTGTCATGGTTAATGGACAAATACTTTAGTACAAAACATAATTTAAAGCAGTGTAAGGGAGATAAATCAAATACATCATTGAAATTATCTCCCTTACACTGCTTTTAAATTATGTATAAAGTAATTCTTAATGAACAATTAAGATAATTTAAAACAGTGTAAGGGAGGTAATCCAAATACGTTTTGGTTACTTCCCTTACACTGCTTTTAAATTATGTTTAAAGAAATGCATATTTATAAAGGAAGACCAGTAAAAATATCTGCAAATGTTGCATCTTTTTTTTTACAACAAAATCCATATGAAAGATTTGACACTATATTTTAAATTCTATTATAAAATAGATTAAGTTAGCACTATGGTAAATTTAAATGGGTAATTATGGTTGCAAACTCCATTGGAAATTTGAATTGAGATTATGACCATATCTTGAGGGAAAGAATTTTTGGGGGAAAAAATGGGGGGGGGGGGGGGTTTAAAGAAATTGTGGGGGGGGGGGGGTCAATTTTTTCTCAGTTCAGATTTCAGAAATTAAAAAGAATTATTCTTCAAATATTATTTTTTTTTCAAATTTCAAGAAGTAATCTTTAATTGGACAGTATGGCGCATTAGATTTGTAAAATCTTTGACCACATTTATTTATTTGTTATGCGGAATCTAACCGTGTATTTAGATTTTTAATTTTGGATCCAGTTTTCAAATTGGTCTACATTAAGGTCCAAAGGGTCCAAAATTAAACTTTGTTTGATTTTAACAAAAATTGAATATATGGGGTTCTTTGATATGCTGAATCTAAACATGTATTTAGATTTTTGATTTTTGGCCCAGTTTTCAAGTTGGTCCAAATTGGGGTCCAAAATTAAACTTTGTTTGATTTCAACAAAAATTGAATATATGGGGTTCTTTGATATGCTGAATCTTACCATGTATTTAGATTTTTTATTTGTGGGCCCGCTATCAAATTGGTTCATATTGAGGTCAAAAGGGTCCAAAATTAAACTTTGTTTGATTTCATCAAAAATTGAATTATTTGGGTTCTTTGATATGCCAAATCTAACCGTGTTTTTAGATTTTTGATTTTGGGACCCATTTTTAAATTGGTCTACATTAAGGTCCAAAGGGTCCAAAATTAAACTTAGTTTGATTTTAACAAAAATTGAATTCTTGGGGTACTTTGATATGCTGAATCTAAACATGTGTTTAGATTTTTGATTATGGGACCAGTTTTCAAGTTTGTCCAAGTTGGGGTCCAAAATTTAACTTTGTTTGATTTCAACAAAAATTGAATATATGGGGTTCTTTGATATGCTGAATCTAACCATGTATTTTGATTTTGGACATTGGACCATAATAGGTTAATTAAAAAAATTGAAGTTCTTAGACCACATTCTTTCTGTGTCAGAAACCTATGCTGTGTCAAATATTTAATCACAATCCAAATTCAGAGCTGTATCAAGCTTGAATGTTTTGTCCATACTTGCCCCAACTGTTCAGGGTTCGACCTCTGCGGTCGTATCAAGCTGCGCCCAGCGAAGCATTTTATTATTGGTTTATGTAAATAAGTTTGAGTTATTTGTTTTGAAAAGTGATGTGTTTAAGTGATAGATATAAAATCATATCTAATTTTAGAGATTTATGAGTGGTTAAGTCATATCTAATTTTAGAGAATTATTTTGGTGTTTTGTTCTTCTTGTATATTACAATAAAAAAAATCAAATCAAATAAAAGTCGAGTCCTCTGGGGTCTTTTTTGTGATTGAATTATTCTCCTTTGAACAGAAATTGTTAATTATATGCATTAAGTTTGAATACACTAAGCCTTTATAGATAATTTTCACCTGTTTATAAGTCCTGTAATCAGTTTACTAAACATATGGTTAATGTCTTATCTTGAGTGACAGATTTATTTGAAAATTTTCTGTTTTCTAAGTGTTGATGATTAAAAGCTATATAGTAGTAAATATAGTTAGAAATTTACTGTTCATTATTAGACATTTTGAAGATAATTACAGATAAGTTTTATAGATTTTTAAAAGACATTGTATTAATGATAAATAAAATTTTTGATATTTTTTTTTTACTTTGGTAAATTGTAAATTGTATGTTATTCTGTAAAAACTAATTTTCTGAATGCTATATATATTTTTTGGATTAGGTGAACTCCTTTTTAAAACTTAGCTTAGATTGTCTATTAATAAACATATATTTAGATTTCTGATTTTGGGCCCAGTTTTCAAGTTGATCCAAATAAGGGACCAAAATTAAACTGTGTTTGACTTCAACATAAATTGAATATATATAGGGTACTTTGAAATGCTGAATCTAAGCCTGTATTTATTTTCATTATTAGTTAGATAATACCACATCGAGGTACTAAGGGTCCTAAATTAAACTTTTGTTTAATCAACAATTGAATTCTTGGGTTCTTTGATATGCTGATTTTAACAATGTTTGAGTGATAATTCATATCTAATTTAAGAGAACTTAGTCATCATTGGTTGTTGTTATTATACTATTGATTATAATTTGAAAAATTACATCATATCTAATTTTATAGAACTTAGTCATCACTTTATTCATTATAATCATATCTATTTATCAAGTTTGAGTTATTTCCCTTTGCACAGAAAATATATGGATACAATTAAATTGTGTTTCATTTCAACTTAAATTAAATATATATAGGGTTCTTTCAAATGCTGAATGTAAACCTGTATTTAAAAATTAGATTTTTGGGCCCAGTTTTCAAGTTGGTCCAAATCAGGGTCCAAAATTAAACTTTGTTTGATTCACAAAAATTGAATTTATGTGGTTCCTTGAAATGCTGAATCTTACCATGTATTGAGAGATTTTGGATTGTGAGCTCCTTTATCAAATTGGTCTACATTGTGGTCCAAAGGGTCCTAAATTAAACTTTTGTTTGATTTCATTGAAAAATGAATTTTTGGAGTTCTTTGATATGCTGATTCTGACAATGTACTTAGATTTTGGATATTGGACCATAGTAGGTAATTAAATAAATGTCCAATTTTGAATATTTCAGTTCTTTGACCACATTCATTTTGTGTCACAAACCTATGCTGTGTCAAATATTCAACCACAATCCAAATTCAGAGCAGTTTTAAGCTTAAATGAAGTGTCCATACTTGCTCAACTGTTCAGGGTTTGATCATGACCTCTGCAGGAAAATCCGGTTTGCTGTCACTCTGACAGCCTCTTGTTTGTTAATTACATCTACGGAAATTAATTTCAAACTCTCAAAACTCAGACAGATTTGATAAAAGTGTTGATTGTTATATTTCCTTTTTAGCTCACTTGGTCAAAAGGGCCATTTGAGCTTTTCTCATCACATGGCATCAGTCGTCTGTCTTCCTTCGTCCATCGTTTGTTGTCCGTCGTCGTCCGTTAACTTTTACAAAAATATTCTCCTCTGAATCTATTGGGCCGAATTCAACCATACTTGGTCACAATCATCATTTGGGAATCTAGTTTTATAAATGTGTCTGATGACCCCCGCCTGCCTATTATCTTGAAAAATTGTAACAGATAGAAAGAAACTTTAAATAGCAAAAATGATCAACAAGACTAGATCTACAAATAAGCCAAAAGGCTGTTTTGTTTTCTCACTCAACTTGTTATTTGAGTTATTGCCTTTTAAAGGGGTATTCATTAGCTGTCAAATTCATGTTCACAGATTTGACTCAAATTCTCATATTTGGTTTATAACATACTAAATCTTATACGCAAATCACAAGTAGTCTAAAATAAATAGTTTTTAACTCGATAATATGTATCAGCATTTCATGTGTATTTTTGTTTTGACATTATAATTTACTCACGGACTATTACCCAATATACACATAAATATAAATATTAATAGATAGTGACAACGTGCAATTGAATTTTTCTAGGTCTGTTTGATTTCATATTGTAGGTTAAAAAGTACTTTTATCATCGTTTTTTACTTGTATAAGAATTTTTTTTTTGGATCAAATCAGTCAACCAAATGGTTCATCCTTGTTTCACTTTCAATGTTGACATTCTTTTCCTTTTAATAGCTGAATACATGTGTAACCCATCTCCAGTTAAGGGGTTAAATTGAAGGTCACATGAATATGGATTCAATGAGGTCAAATTATTCACTTGCAAGTGAATAATTCATCAGCGATGTTTCTTAGCTAATTTTGACAAAATTGAACCAAACTGGCTGCTAAATGTGAATCTTCTTTCACTATTTCACTTTCATAATGATTGAACAAAAAAAAAATCATATTTTAATGTTTTTTTATATCTCGTAGATAATGCCCCTTTAATTATAATTTTTGTCTTGCTTGACGGAGTCCAAAAGCGAGACATAGGTATGAAGTTCCCGTCGTTGGCGGCGGCCGCGTCAACAATGTATTAGTTTGTGATTAGGCCTAGTTTATGGTGAACCACAAGTGGTAGATCATTGATATTTGGTATGCAGTTGTATTCGCATTGGCACATCTCATTTCCATGGAGATTATTTGGCTCTGCCCCCTCAGTCATGGTCTATTGACTTTGAAACTTTTGCTTATTTTACATGTATTTGTTTGTGATTAGGTCAGTTTATGGGGAACCATTAGTGATAGGTCAATGATATTTGGTATACAGTTGTATTAGCATTGGCACATCTCATTTCCATGGAGATTATTTGGCCCTGCCCCCTCAGTCATGGTCTATTGACTTTGAAACTTTTGCTTATTTTACATGTAGTAGTTTGTGATTAGGTAAGTTTATGAGGAACCATTAGTGGTAGGTCAATGATATTTGGTATGCAGTTGTATAAGCATTGGCTTATCTCATTTCCATGGAGATTATTTGGCTCAGCCCCCTTAGTCATGGTCTATTGGCTTTGAAAATTTTGCTTAGTTAACATGTATTAGTTTGTGATTAGGTCAGTTCAAGGGGAACCAATAGTGGTAGGCCAATGTTAATTAGTATTCATTTGTATAAGCATTAGCACATACCATTTCAATGGAGAATATTTGGCCCCATCCTCTCAGTCATGGCCTATTGACTTTGAAATTTTGCTCAGTTTACATGTATTTGTTTGTGATTAGATCAGTTTAAGATGAACTGCTAATGTTAAGTCAATGATATTTGGTATGCAAATGTATTGGCATTTGCAAGTATCATTTCCATGGAGATTATATAGCCCCACCCCCTCATCATGGTTCATTGACTTTGAAACTTTTACATTTTTTACAAGATAATGTTTGTGTTTAGGTTTGTTTAAAGGGAATGACTTATAATAAGTCATTGGTATTTGGTATGCAGTTGTATTAGCATTGGCACATCTCATTCCATGGAGATTGTTTAGCCATGTACCTTCAGTCATGGTTCATGGACTTTGAATATTTGCATAACTTACATGTTAAAGTATTGCTATTTTAATTTCAACATTTCCATTATCAAAATTACAAAAAAGCGAGACATGTCTCTGTGAACAGTTTATTAAATGTATTACATTACCTCAAGATGTTAAATTATTGCATGGTTTGTGTCTAAATCATTCCTTTACCATTTACAAGTATATATATATCCGAACATAATATCTCAGTTTTCCTGCTTTCTTAACTTAAAATATATTAGTGTTATGCATGAATTCCGTATACATTTTATAATAGGTAAACAAGTGCTGGGGTATAAAATTTGAATTCAAACCATATTTTTAACATCAAGCGAATGTTTTGTGTACATGATCAGAAATCGCAAAGTTTAAATGTGTCTTGAAAATGACTTTGAAATATAGAAATTTAGAAATTATTCTTAAATTATGCCAACAGATTCACTTAGAAATGCACAATTTTAGGCTTTAACCATATTTGTTGAAAAATAAAACATTTTCTACTAGCTTGCCCTTCTTATGCTTGTCACTATGAAAAAGAATTATTTTAATTTCTTTAGTATAATACATAATTCATTTTACAGATAAACAAGGCTCTAACATGTACTTGTAGATTTTTATGTTACCACATTTTTTCCTGTTTAAGATACACACAGTTTTAGAAGTGAAGAAGGAAGCACACTGTGTTGGTGAAAGGATTATTTACTTTGTTTGGTGTCCTTTTTTGTTATTTTTGCATGCAGGAAATGCAAGAGCTTGCAAGAGCTTAAAACATACAGTGACCATTTGATACTTAGAAACACATTTTCAATTAGTTTTCCAAGATTTTCAACAAAAAAGAATTGCTCCACATTAATGTATGTGACAAGGGAAATAATTCGATTTTTTAATTTTAATTTCAGTGGTTTTGAAAGTGCTGGAAGGAAGAAAATCTCCAAATCTTGGTATAGGGAGGAAGATGATAGCCAGTCCTCTTAGCAAAATATTGTCGGTTTCCAAAAATCCAAATGGTGTTTGGGTGTAGCTGTTTTGTGAAAATTCATTTATTTGAATTATTCTTTTTTTAAATGTTTTCTTTGTGAATTTGTGTCTTTATCTCGTATGTTTCAAAACAATAGGTTACAAGGGCACAATTATTCCTAGTGCATTTTCCATAGAGTACCAGTGGTGTTACATATTTTATTTCTTGAAGACTACACAAGCTAGAAAAAAAATATGTAGCAGTTCCTGTTACTAGAAATGTCAGCTTTGTATAACAGCCAAAAAAATATATGGTCATGTGGCAAAAGTTGACATAAAATGCAGTTGAAAAACAACGTCTATTTTTTTTCGCTTAATGAAAAAGGCAATTTTTTAATGGCTCTTACGTGCAGAAATAGAATATATTTTCTATACTTTGTAAAATATGAATTTGATTTTCTTGTTTTTTCAAACATAAATGGATATATAAGCTTTCGACTAAAAGTAGTTCCAATCCTGTATCATCCAATGAGAAACCGCACAAGATTCTATTCTGAGTACCATCTTGGGGTAAAAAACTTGCTGGTAAAATGTTAACAAATAATTGCGCTCTTGTAACCAATAATGATAAGCTTCTTAGATATCTCAGCTCGCACGTTGAGCTAACAAACACAATAAGTTTAGCATAGATTGATTAATGTCAGACAATTATTTTGGAGTCAAAAAATTTTCATAACCACCTTTGATTTAGTGTCAAATAGGGGAATTTAGAAGCTGAAAAGCATTAATTGCATCCTCAAACCTTAGGGAATCTGTTTGGACAATTATTTAGAAAAGTCTTTTCAAATTTCTAGGAGTGTTTTTTTTTTTTTTTACAAATTATCTTTTATCCAGTAAGAAAATTGAATGGCTATAAGCCTTAAAATCATTTGAAAATAATGATGATAAAAAATTACTGAAACATTATAGGAGTTATTGCAGTTAAATGAAATTTTTTACTGATTTAACTATTCATGGGTTTAAATGTTTTTTGGTTGGAGCATTCCTATTAGGTAAATTTAAAAAAGCACTTCTGATGTATCAAATTTATAAAATGTTATTTTCATTATAAAATATTTTTACAAATTATCTTAAAAACTATAAATGGTAAAAATGATCAGCAGTACAAGATCTACAAAATTACCAATATAACTGACATCTTATAGGAGTAATTGTCCTTAAAGGACTTTTTGTATTTTTGCCTATTTTTTTATGTACTTGTTTTACCTACTTATCATGGGATGAATACTGTTGTTGTTCTCAGTAATAATGAATTATTTCTTCTTGTTCATGCAATTAAATCTTAAGGGATGCTATATGTATACTGTTACATTATCCTCCATAAATACAGATAGAAATAAAGATCTCCATGTGCAAAATTGAACAGTTTTTGATTTTCATAGCAAAATTTAATGAAAGCATTTTAACTATTACAGAACAGGTAATACCTATTCCACAATTTTTTTTAACTTGTTGAAAAAAAAATGGTTTAGAGCTGATATATGGCATGAGATGATTTTTAACATCACAGCTCTACATGGGCTCATTGCATTTGTTCCAATTTTTTAAAAATACTGTATCTCATTTGTGCCATAAGGTTGTATTTCATTTGAGCTAAAACATAACTTATTTTGCACAATTTTTCAGGTAAAAAAAATGCTGATTAAAGTGTTGCTATAAGTTATATCCAAAATATGTGGTTCATATAAGAAATTTTGTACAATACCCCTGAGTAAGTAATAAGTTCTTATTCATTTTGCAATGATACACAAAACTGGAAGTCATGAGAGTATAAAATTGTACAATGTTCACATTTGAGAAAAACAGTGGAAACAAGTCTGCATTTTTAAATATTTTTTTTACAACACATACAGATTATCCAGTGTATTGAAGAACAGAGACTAGTCTTATAGATGCAAGGAAAAATCACTATTTAAATAGGGGCAAATGGATAGGGATAAACATAGTTTAATGATGCCATCAAAAAATGTAGATGTACCAGTATGTTTGTTTGACCTTAAAAATTATCAAAACTTCAAAGAACTTATTATGCTAGATATCATGTAATGCACACGAATGGAAGGGATTGATACAAATATATAATATGAATTGAATAGTATAAATGTACAACTATTATCTAAAATATTTACGTGTATTATTGGCGCAAATGAAAGGTTTTATTTTGGCTCAAAAGAAATATGGTTCGTGGTGCAAATGTTGAATCAGTGAAAAAGTTTTTAGTGATATCAAATTACATATGTGTTTTTTATATACATCTTTCATATTAAATGTGTATGCATGCTTATTTATGGCAGACAATGTATTTGGATATTGGAAAATAGAATAGTTCATATTATTTAAAACATTTGCTCTGTAAAATACAGATACAACAATAATTTGCTTTTATGGCTTTTTCGGTTACAAATGTATGTCAGATTTATACAAAATTTTATAAATATGTCGACAATAAAGACAACAACACTCAAGTTTTTACCGCAAAGTATCTGTTTATTTGGTCGACATGTTTCACCTATAGATAGGCGTCATCAGGACAATGTTACATATAAAATTTACAGTGAGGTGCATTTCTTGCGGTTGAGTGGTTAACCGGAAGTGTAAGTATAATTACGGTAGTTATGGTGACGTTATATAAATAGAAAATGAAAGTGAAAGTGAAAAGACATAGAGAATATAAATAGAAAGAAAAGTAAATGTTGTATAAATAAATTAATAAAAGTTTGTAAGAGTTGTTCTTTCACTTTCATTTTCTATTTATATATCATCTTGAAAAAAATGAATATGTCGACATATTAATTTTTTTCAAGATGACTGTGAATACCTAGCGGTATCCACTCGTTTTTACCCTACCGCACAATCACCACTTCAGGTGTTGGTTCACTTATATTTTTACAGTTTAACTATTTACTGTGAACCCCTGCATCCGCAAGGATCCACCTTTGCCACACTTGTGTTGTACCTTACGACCAACCAGCATGAACAAATACACAGACCATTCCGACCATTGCCGATCCTTTCCCGAAAATGATAGCAGAATTCTACACACCACCAGAAGGAAAGATATGGAAACAGAAGCAACTGCAAGAAAACACACACAGAGACCCCTCTATTACGGAAAATTTATACACAACACATAAATACACATGGATACCAGACAAGCCATTTAGAGAAAACAGAACGGAACCAGGAACAGAATGAACCACAGGAACCACACAAATTATTTTATGAAGCCATACTTGATCCTAAGACATTTTACAAACAAATTAAATATTTACAGATCTACCATAATTCCCAATACCAGTGGCGATCATACATCTCATATATTCCCAACGCAACTGGAAGCAGTACCTCCTAGAGCGAAGCCAGTCTAATTGGTACAGAATTACCGTGAGGTGGTGTCCATTTGGGAAATTAAACCAAACATTTTATCATCAAACGATACCACTAGGAACCTCCAATAAGACTATATACTATACCATAAGACTACAAGGAAGAACTAACTCTTACAAACTTTTATTAATTTATTTATACAACATTTACTTTTCTTTCTATATATATTCTCTATGTCTTTTCACTTTCACTTTCATTTTCTATTTATATAACGTCACCATAACTACCGTAATTATACTTACACTTCCGGTTAACCGCTCAACCGCAAGAAATACACCTCACTGTAAATTTTATATGTAACATTGTCCTGATGACGCCTATCTATAGGTGAAACATGTCAACCTAATAAACAGATACTTTGCGGTAAAAACTTGAGTGTTGTTGTCTTTATTGTCGACATATTCATTTTTTTCAAGATGACTGTGAATACCTAGCGGTATCCACTCGTTTTTACCCTACCGCACAATCACCACTTCAGGTGTTGGTTCACTTATATTTTTACAGTTTTAGTATTTCATAAAGGAAAATGTCGAAAATCAGGAGTTATTTGAAACAGTTGTAGTTTTGCCAAAAGAAATATGTGAATCAATCGTTTCATTAATGATTTTTTATTCAGTGGTGTGTTTTGTTTTATAAATGAATATTATTTATGTTTATAATCGACTTAAAGCTTCTACAAACAAAGAAAAATAGTAATCATCTGTTGGAGAGTTGTCTCATTGACAATCATACCACATCTTATTTTTATTTATATAAATTGTAATGGTGTTTCAGTGACAATTTTTTTTAAACTTCTCATTTAGGCAAACATGTGCAAATTGAAATCCCAGAGATCAAGCATTTTCTATTACCAAATTAAATTGTTTTCATATGAAGAATTAGAAAAAAATATATCAAATAAATACACCCCCCCTCTTTTTTCAACATGTAAAATGAAAAACTAGTGTTTACAAGTTACTTCGTTGATAAGTTTATGTACATAATTAACAAAAAAAAATGCAATTTTGTATAGAGGAATGATGTTTTCTTTGTGGTAATTATAACAGTACATACAAAACTGGAACACCATGACCTAAATTTTATGCAAGAATTTTTTCAAATTAATAATGGTAAGAGTCATATCCAATCAAATTTGATATAAACAAAACTGATGAGGGAATAACCTGTTGTTTATATTTGATATAACCTTAAGTCATGTCATACTATGTGATTCTACAATTATAATGGAAAAAGAGTTTTTATAACTTTTATTCATGCAAGAAGCCTTATATATGAAGATATTTACAAAATGTATAATATTTAGATTATCCTGAAGTTTTTTATAGTCAAGAAATAATATTTGGTTTACAAAAAAAAGTCATAATAAGGAAGTATACAGCTTTTTATTTTTTATATAAAAATAGAGGTGACCTTCATTTGTGCGAATTTGAATTTTGATAAGCGTAAAGCAAACAATTTGTTCCTGTAAACATAACTCTACATTAACGATCAGTTCTTATTCTACTTTTGCATATTTTCTTGGTGCATCTTGAGAAAATGTTTGTACGTTCCTTCTCATTTATCTACATTGAAAGCTAGTATATCTATAAAGACCTTTATTATGTGTTTGTCTCCATCTTCAATATTCATTTTCACTCTGTTATTTCAGTTGATTTAATTGATTGATTGATTGGTGATTGCTTTACACCACATCACAGTTGATTTAAAAACATTGTTTAATATATTAGGTTTTTTTTTCAAAATTCATAATATCAAGCATTTATATAGCTACTATATAAATCCCTTATAATATATATATAAAAGTTCTACGATTTTTCAATTATTTTTTAATAGAAACTTGGATTGATCCATGCAAATGTAGTAGTCTTGTAACAGGTAAATTTTGTGCAAATATAATGTGTTTTGTGGCTCGAATGAGAAATTTTTTCATGCAAATGTATGACAAATTCAAGGAAGCGTAACGCTGAGATGGGGAGATAATTCAAATGTTATCTTTTATAATGTTGAGTAAAATGTGCTATCTTATCTCTCCAATATTTTGTCTGGAGGTAGATATCTCATTAATTATATGGATTTAATTTTATATTATTTTCCTGCACCAATTTTGGACAGTTATTAAAGAATTCAAATTCAATTGAATAGATAAATGAAAACTCTTTTCTTAAAAAAGACAGATGAATTATATATTCATCAATCTCAACTTCAGGAAATTTCATTTCATAATAACTTCTGCCTTTTTTAAATTTAATAAAAAAAAATTGAAAAAAAAATTAAATAAATTCTTTATTAGACATATTTTATTTCCTATCAAGATTGTAACACCTGACATTTAATTGTATATCTACAATTTAAAAATGCAAATGTTTTTATAAAATGGTTGAGAATTTGCTCATATTTTTAAACAGAGATAATTATTAAAACCATAGTCTTTCTGTTGCCCAAGTTTTTTTTATGTAATTCTAAGAGATGAAATGCCTTATTGGGAAAATAAAATAATTCCAAACATGACTTGCTTTACAGAATAATATTTATTTTTTTGTAAACATTTTAACTTTATTTTCCATACTAGATGGTATTATTATTCATTTATTTAGAAAGTTAATTTTGTTTTCATCCCATCTGGTATATATAATTGGATAAATCAAATGAGAAGTTAAGCACACATTACTACAAATTCAATCTTTCCACAATGCTATCAGGTACTTTGATTCAAACTGAGAGGAAAGGCACCTATTTCAATTACTGTGTTTATTGTTTTGTTGTAAGATACAATTTGTTGTCCGAAGTTTGTTAAATGAATTTTAAATTTTATAGATAAATTTTAAGATGAGATCATCTATTTTTTAATACAGACTATTTTACATATTGAACCATTTGGTATTTTTTTCTAGTCTATAATCATTTTTATTTGTAAATATATAAGATACATAACCTTGATTGTATTATAGCAGTATAGAATTGGCAGAAAAAGTATGCCTAGTTTCATCCTTGGGCAATTGTGCAATGTCATTATGTTCAAAAGTAATCATTATCAATAAAACTTGTTATAAATATTATACATTTTATTTGTATTTGTTGATGCTATCTAATCTAAGTTCTGTAAAACATCTCATTTTTAGCTCACCTGGCTCAAAGGGCCAATTGAGCTTTTCTTATCAGCAAGACAAAATCTAAAAAGAAGTCAACATGACCAAAATCGTCAGAAGACTCCTTATTAGAGTTATTGCACTTTAATGATGATTTTTACCAATTTTTTGCATTATTGCCTAATATTGTAAAAACTATAATAGATAGATAGGATCTTTAAAAAGCAAAAATGATCAGCACAACAGGATCTACAAATAAGTCAAACATAGCCGAAATCGTAATCGACTCCTTATCGAAGTTATTCTTCTTAAATGAAGATTTTTCCCATTTGTTTTAAAACTGTAATAGATAGATAGAAACTTTAAAAGCACAAATGACCAGCAAGACAAGTTCTACAAATAAGCCATATGGCCAAAATCTTCAGTCGACTCTTTTATTTGATTTATTGCCCTTAAATGATAATTTGTGAGTGATCTAATGTGTACAATTCTTGACAGATTTTTATGAAACTTATATTATAGGTTTATATCATCAATGTCTTTGACGAATTCGAAAATCTGTGCCGATCAATTATTTTTAAAAGAGTTATGCTCCTTGGAAATATTTTTTTTTTTATAATGAATTTCTTTTTATTTGCAAATGAACATAATAGTAAGTTGTACACAATATAATATATAGACAGAAGATATACGACATATTTTAAATTAATAGACACAGCTAAAATAGTTTAATACATTGCAATTTTTTTTATATAAAGAGTTATGCCCCTTGGAAATATTGATTATATGGAAAATTGCATTGTAAGCGCTCTCACATGTACAATTCTTGCCAGAATTTTATGAAAATTATGTCATAGGCAATGTCTTTTACACTTTCCAAAATAAGTGATGATCAAATATTTTTAACTAGTTATGGCCCTTGGAAATATTAATTATAACAGAAATTGCATTGCATTTGCTCTGAAGTTTTCATTTTTCTAAGATATTTATAAAAAGTTTTAAAGAACAAAAAAACAGTGTTTTTTGTAGTTATTGCCCTAATGTACCTTGGATAGATAAAATATGTGCAACACGGAAGTCATTGGAACTCTGTTCTTTTATAAATTTGGTTATATCAGATATCAATTAAGTGTAATGGCTTACTCTAGTGACATTGCAAAATCAAGACATAAAAATCTCACCAGAAGAAAGCTCTTTCAATGAAAGTTTGAACAAAAATGTAGTGCTATCATTCAATACATCAATTCCATAAATCAAAACAATGGAAGGAGAGAAAGCAAAAATGTCTCTCAAATATTTTACAGCTCAGTAATATGGAGCTGCAAAGTCACCTAACAGCTGCAGTTTCTTTTTTCAGGTAATAAAATTACAAAAAATATTGGACCATCAACACACCTAACTTGTCCTAAAAAATAGATGTACATGCAAACAATGAAAGAAAAAAACTTATTGAACAAAATTGTATGTAACCAGATTGGGATAAAAAAAAGTCCCATAATTATGACGCTTTACCGTATCTTCACTTTATATATCATAAACTTAGTTCTTTCAACAAATTCTTCACAACTGTAATCTGTTTTCGTCTTTTTAACTGAAATTGTTTCTAGTCTATAAATTTAGTAGAAGGATGATACTCATATTGCTCACAAGAATAAAAGGTGTGTCCTGACTGAAGTCCCAACTGTCTACAGTAAGGTTGGAATGTCTTTCAAGGTCACAAACTTAATTCAACATTACATCACCATATTTAAGTACCGTTATACATAGTTGTGTCCCACTCAGAACTTTAAAAGCTTTGAAGGATATCAATGATACTTGGTATTTTTGAACCCACCACCGTGTGTCACAAATAAATTTGGACTTTTCTTGGATTCAAACACTCGACCTTCTGCAATGAGGCAAACACTCTACCACAGGACCACTGAGACGGTTTGAAAGAGGCTTGAATATTCCATGCATGTTGATAGAATGTCTTGATGACCCATCCTGTGTTATCCTTGTAATTGGTAGAATTGTTTTTTACAGATATAATTTTACTATTAGAAGTTGACCATGAAATATTAATTTACTGCAAAATAATTACAGCATTTTAGTTATCAAGTTATTAAAAGATGAGCAGGCATTCCAAAAGACTGGAAAGCAAAATTTCTCACAATGAAACATTCATTAAGTGTGAGTGTTCATTTTACTACATATAGTACTGTTAGAGGATGCTGCAACCTTATCTAGTCACTGAGAAGTGCTACAATGTTTATATATAAGCAGCACGTAATCAGTAACAAGAAAAGCTGTCAACTTGTAATTTTTTACACAGCAGACAGCAGTAATTTCAGAAGTTAAAATGTTAACATATTTCTGAAGAAAATAGAAACTACACGAGAAAAACGAGAAAACTGGACTTCCATTAGACCACTGCAACAAGCCCTTACAAAGAAATGAACATTCTCCCACTCTTTCACTCCCTCCCAGACTTACTTCTGTACATACCACTCTCATTATTTACCCTCATCCTCTCAATTCTTCCTATTTCTCCCTCCCTCCATTTCTCTCTTATCCATAGAAACCTCAAACCTTAGCCACCTATATTAGCCCCCTCTATGTGTTAGCTAATCCTATGAAAAGTTTGTTAGTTGATGAAAAGATTTTTAATCATGAAGTACTGGGCATGGAAGTATGAAAACTTCCAACTTTGAAAAGATCAAAACTTTTTAACATGAAACATGGAAAGTTTTTTTTAAGTATTGAGTTTTTTAAACTTATTTTTAAATAGAAAAAGGTAAAAGTCCAAAAGTAAAAATTTTAGTTTAAAAGATGCCAAATCGTACAAAAGTACCGGTCTGCGTGTACTAGCCAGTCGACCTGTGGGTTCGCTGGACTTTAAGGTGCTAGTTCACCAAGAAAAATTCCCACAGTCAGACACCTGCCTCTTCCTTTCAGAGTACCACTTTTTAAGTCTCTGATTGATTTTAGCATGACTTATACAGCCAAGTTTTTAAAAAAATGGTAAAATATCCCTTTAAAAATTTGGATAAAAACAGTAAAACATCCCATTGAAAATGTTGATAAACCAATAAAATAACCCGTTTAAAATTTGGATAAAAACATCCCTAATTAAAATTGGGATAAAAACAGTAAAACATCCCCAATTAAAATTTTGATAAAACAGTAAAACATCCCCAATTAAAATTTGGATAAAAACTGTAAAAAAATCAGCACTTAAAATTTAATAAAATCAAATAAAATACCCAGTCCCATTAAAATTTGGATAAAAACAGTAAAACATCCCCATTTAAAATTTGGATGAAAACAGTAAAACTTCCCCAATAAAAATTTGGATGAAAACAGTAAAACATCCCCAATAAAAATTTGGATAAAAACAGTAAAACTTCCAAAATTTAAATTTGGATAAAAACAGTTAATAATCTCCACTTAAAATTTGACAAAAACAAATAAAATACCCAGTCCCATTAAAATTTGGAGCCAGCCACCTGACTCAGTTTGTACCAGTAAACGTGGATACTTGGTACGTATGGTAGGGGACGTTACTATACCTAAATGGGAGGTGTAGCATCTGTGAACCCTAAACACAGAGAGCGGCTTAACTTCCGTATTCAATGCATACTAAAGTAACGTTATCATGTTTTTCATAACAGTCACTGAAAACAATTTATAAAATGTAACTTCTAAAGAACCTTCAGCAATATTATAACATAAAAACCGTTCCCTGTGGATAGAAGTGAAATATTTTATTTAAAAAAATTACAAACAACAGTGAATCAATGCCTGGTAAATCTTCAGTACGATAGAATCCCTAAAGTGGATACCTCAGGTCTATGCAGGGTTGTTACGATAAAAAACACAATATGTGAAAGGAGTTACAATAGCAAGTTGTACATATTGAGAAAACACAGTGTGACAGACACTCAACAATACAGTTAAACCAGACCCTTTAACAATAAACGATTCTAACTAATAATATCTAATGGTATTTCAATGTTATATTTTGGCCTTTCTTTTGTATTGAAATCTATGATGAGCTATAAATCTTAATAATCAAAATTAATCTCAGTAATAGCTGGCTCATTGACAATTTTACCACATTTTATTTTCATGGCTGAGATGAAAAAATGGAGTTTTCTGTGTTTACAAAAAATTGAGATACATAATACAGTTTATTCTTTAGAATGATGAGAAACTCCTGTTTCCTCAATCAGTATTTGTAACGTCCTTACAATTATACAAATGAAAGAAGTGTGGCATTATGAACGCATATACAATGTGATCAAAACCATCTCATAGAATCTATGAAATAAAGATAATGCTTGGAAGGACCAAGATTAAGTATATAAGAATTAATTCTGTAATAAGTGTCATGAAAAAAGAACTTTGTCTAACATTTATGTTGCTTTAATAAATTCAAGGTAGAAATCACATTATCATAAATAATTTGGAGAACATTCTTCATTTCATACACAGACATTAGAGTTTAAAACAAATTCTTTTAAAATCTGCAGAAGACAGTACAAGTTTTTCAGGTCTTTAAATGCACACAAATTTTTATTACATCCAAGTCTTCATATGAAAAAGTGCCACATTTTAAGTCATACAAATGCTAGTCCTATTACATTCACTTCAGTCTTTGAAATAACAATTAAATATTAATTATTGTGTCATGACTATGTTCAGTGCTTCATTTCTAATACAATTAACTTTAGGATGAACTCTTGACCACTGTGATTCCTCTTCAAACAAAATAACTTGTTCTGAACATCTCTCGACATACTGAAAAGTAAAAAACAAGATTTATAATCCTAAAGTATGCTGCTTGTTGGAGTTTTATCATCCTTTTCTAAGGTTCAGATGGAAAATTTTGAACTTGTAAATGAACACAAAACTTTATCCAACACCTGAACTGGTATCTGAATAATTGCAAAATACAATTTTTATTGTCAGATAAGTGCAAAAGAGTAAAACAGGGGAGGTCATAGGGTATTCATGTATGTACATAAGAACTTAAGACAAAAGGAAAAATATTTTATACAAAAATTACACAATGCAAAGGTATTTGATACAAACTGGTTCTTTGCTTCTGAGCCAACTACCATTTCATTTGCGCCAAAAAAATCTTTCATTTAATGCGCCACAAACCATATTTCATTTGCGCCAATAATACAGGTAAATAGTATAAATGATAGATCTATATTGAAAAGAGACTTTTAATAATAATGTTACAACAAAGTTTTGACAGTAAATACATGTATAACACATTTATCATTAATCACATTCATCAAACACTGATTATTTTTTTTTTAAATGCTAAGATTGTACTTTTTGCTTTTTTTTTTTGTGCAAAGCATGGACATGGCAGGGTATTTATACATCCTTACAAACAAAAAAGCCAAAAGGTACAGATCTGAGAGTACTTGCAGTTACACTGACAGCTTGTTCGAAGCCAGTAACAACTACTAAAAAAATAATGAATCTAAGACTAAAATATCAATCAGTACACATCCAACTTCCAAAGGATTTAGCGTAAAGATGTAATTAACAGTTAGAGTAAAAAATGACCTTGTGTAATGCCAAAATATTAGTATCAACAGATTGTAGTACTTTGAATGTGCATAGGTGTATAACAATAATATTGAGTATGGTTTTAACTTAGTGATAACAAAATCAATATTTGTATCAATAAAAACAATATGCAAAGATCTACAAGTGTTGAATTGGTAACCTTTTAAAATAAGTTTATTTAAAAGATTGATAAGTTACCCGGATCGTATCTAAATTTCCCAGCTCAGTAAACAACATCACAGTAAAAAATTAAAGATAATTTGTGAGCACGATTACATACAGCACACCTCCACATTGTCAATGGGGAAACAAAATCTCACTTGATTCCTAAGTTCAAACACTCATAATTCCTACAAAAGTCAACTGATAAAAATTTCTTGTGGATATGCACATCTACATATTATGTCCTCATTGACTACAAAGTTTCATGAAATTATGTTGTGTGGTTTTAGAGAATTTGCAATGACAAATTGTGGCAGTAATATATTATGGCCAAAATTCTTAATTCAAATGGACATAACTCCTAGAAAAAACATTGAATCATAATTTCCTGTTGAAATGCATACTAACATAGTATGTCCTTATTATCTACATAGTTTCATGAAATTCTGTTGTGTGGTTTCAGAGGAGTTGCCAATGACAAACTGTTGCAGCAGTATATTTAGATTCTGGTATTTGGCAATCAAACCACATCTTCTTAATTTATGACATCTTGCTTAAAATATACCAATCAAGTTGCTTACCTGTACACTTTGATTTGAGTCTTCTCTGATGTATGACCTCTCCTTCATACCAATTTCAAACTTCATAACTACTTCTCCTTATGTCATACATTGGCTGTCTTGAATTTTTCCTTTCTGTTCATTTTACTTTTAAGATTCTGCATTTTTTCAAGTCCCTTTTTAATAATTTCCTGCAAAACATAAAAATATGAATTAGGCTTAACATTAATGAATACTTTCGAAAATATTTATATGTATAACCTATTAGGTTGTTTTGGTTGTATAATGTAAAAATAAACACCTCAGGTCAATTGGTAGGTTTATTGAGTAGTATTTTTTTACAATAATTGAGGATAACCATAATCTTTATTGTCATAAAAACAAACAAAAAATGTTTGCGACAAATAAATATATATATATATAGATCAATGACCCTGCAATACAAATACAAATAATCAGTACAAAGAAAGATAACTCTATTCATGTAGATAAAAATATCCAAAATACAATACTCAAATATTTCCTCCTGGAAAACTGGTTTTCCATGTTTTTTTACTTATAATACTATATATAACAAATCTAAACAATGAGATATGTTGTTCTCATCATAAATTTATACATCGTAATTTTAAGCATATTAAAGTCTACCAAATATTCATCTGATAGTCATTTTTCAGGTCATTAAAAAAATCCATTACAATTAATAATGTAGTCATGTTTCCCTTGTAAATAAACCCAATTCAGGAGCCTGTAATTTTAGTGGTTGTCGTTTATTGCTGTATTTCATATTTGTTTTTCGTTCATTGTTTTGCATATAAATCAGGCTGTTAGATTTCTCGTTTAATTGTTTTACATTTGTCATTTCACGGCCTTTTATAGCTGATTTATATGGTATGGGTTTAGCGCATTGTTGAAGGCCATACGGTGACCTATAGTTGTAAACTTCTATGTCATTTGGTCTCTGGTGGATAGTTGTCTCATTGGCAGTCATACCACATCTTCTTATTTTTATACAAACATGTTGTATGGGTCTAAGGTTCTTTATTTCATCACAATTGATGTAGTTATTCAAAATGAAAACAACCCTGAAATAAAAACAAATAATATTCTTATACAATTCAATCAGGAGTAAAAATACAAATATACAAATATTTTATTAGCACAAACTCATCAACAATAAATGGTTAAGGCTCATGGTATATTAATTACATAGTTGATCATACATAATAAGTATTGCAAATAATGACTATATTAATATGTAATATTATAAACAATGATTATGAATTAGACATGTTGACAATTTTATAGAGTTTGTTCTGTTTTACGCAGGTTCAGACTGTCTGAAATGAAAGAGGAAGTCAATTTTAGGATTGTGTATGAATTATTATTTAATAAAAAGATTACATTATTTTCATTTTTTTGAAATTTTGTAGGATCAACGATTATATTTGAAACTTTTTGGTAAAATATGGCCCAATTAGTTGAGTATTTTTCACAATGTAAAAGAAAATGTTTTTCATTTTCAATTTGACCAGAATTACATACAGAGCAGTATCTTTCATTTCTGGGAATATTTAGATGTCTCCCTCTTTCAATCATCAGTATATGAGCACTTATACGGATCTTACATATTGCAGCTCTGTCACTTCTGTTTTTCAATATATCAACATAGGGTGGTCTTCTGTCCATTATGTAGACACTCTTGAAAAAGTCTAACTTTTTTGATTCAAATATATTTGCATTTTGAACTTGCAAACATTGGTCATTAATTCTTTGTTTAATGGAATTTAAATTACCTTTAACATAATTAAAGTTATTGATGATATAAGACATTCCAAGTCCATTCAAAAGACTCTTGACCTTTATGACCCAAGGGTTTGAATCTACAGATTTAGTGAATATATCATATGCCAAAGAATTTTCCAAAGAAACTATATGGTTCAGGTAGTTGAATATTGAATATAATATTTTATTTTTCAAGGGAATTCTATTTAGTTCGGCTCGACATCCATCATTAGATGCCTTACAGTGAACCCCTAATATATCTTTGATAAATTTAACATGAAGTTTTTCAAAGGGATCAGAGTCTTTAAAATGTGAATCCACCCCCAAATTTCACTACAATATGTAAGAATGGGAGTAACTAAACAATCAAACAATTTTTCAAGAAGTCTACATGGGTTGTTGAGACCTATAGTTTTCTTTATCTTATAGCATGCCTTCCTGGCTTTTTCCATTAGAGTATTCACAGCAAGGCAAAAATTGTTATTGTAAAATCAGACATATATGTATTATATGTCTCTGGTAGTAACAATCAATTATTTTAAAATCAAAATAGATATATGCATGCAAGAAATCTGTGTAAATCCCTTTGTGTTTTAAAATAATAGTTTTACAAGCCACACAAAATGATATTACACCATTTCGAATTCTGTATTATTTATTACATAATACATTTCTCTGCATTTCGTGCATTGTGAAATATTCAACAACAGACTAAGTTCACAGCTAGATACATAGCTTAGTAATGCTTGTTAGTATCATACCAAAAGTATTTATTTATACATAATAATAACATGCAATTGTAAGTGCAAACAAGACATTACGTATCTGCAACATTTAAACAAAGCAGAGTGACATTTATAAGCATTATAAAAGCAACATAAAACTAACATGAATAATACTAACAGTTCATATACATACCTCACAAAGGTCTTGCTCCATCAACTGATTGGTAAGCAGCCAGTTTACATTTCTTTAATATCATTATAACACCTGAAGGACAAATATTAAAATCATAAATACCCATCTTCAATATTATACAATACTGCTAGATTGTAAACATTAGAATTATCTCCCCTTAAATGTGGTTAATCAAATATTTACTTGTATCATAGATATGGAGTATAAAATTTTTAATACAAACTGTTAAAGTAAATTACATATTACTGATACTATAAATTTAAGTATAAATCATATTTGTATCAGTTTTATGCAGATTTTATATATTTTACTAAATCTTACAAACAAAACTATATTATCAAATTTATCTAGATTACTTTTATGAATGTTTTACACTGCAGATATTTACTATTAAATCAATTACATACACCTATCATAGTACTGTCACCTTTTTGTTCAATAATTACACACTTATATATCACTCACTCTTGGATGTTAACTGGAATGTTATTATGTTAGTAATAAACTGACCTTTAAGATTATGATGGTCCTAGACAATTTCTAATACCAAATATCACATTTAATTTCCAACAAGTATAAAGAAATGGCTACCATTTAAGACACTTTAAGACTTCTAGCCAATTATCCATAACAAAGAAAAGTTAGACAAAAGGTTCCAGCCTAAATTATACTGACCAATAGAAACATATTAATCAATAGGTCTACCTGAATAAACTTAAGCAGACAACAAATTATAATAACTGAAAATAGAATATATTAAGTATATTCTACTAACATAAAACCTTAACGTAACACATAAAACCTTAGTTAATGTAAAACATAAAAATATATAGCTCTACCACAATAACATCAACATTGTATTTATTATAAGTACCTATAAAGCAAAGGATACATCAACATAACACACTGACTAAGCTTGTACAATGTAGTAAATAAAATTGAGAATGGAAATGGGGAACGTGTCAAAGAGACAACAACCCGACCACAGAACAGACAACAGCAGAAGGTCACCAACAGGTCTTCAATGCAGCGAGAAATTCCCGCACCCGGAGGCGTCCTTCAGCTGGCATATATTATAGCTATGCTTAAGACACATGTAATAATCACAAAAACACACATACAATGTATGAACCGAGAATACAAAACCTACCATGTATGATGTACAAAGGTCCTGTATATACAAAACTATGGAACCTTTGGTACTAAAATCATGCACATCATGTATTATATTGGAACAGTATGGTTCAATATCTAATAAAAATATTATCATATCTATTTGTGTTAATAGTTTGAATATTAATTAATGATCTAATCATTGAATCATTTAATAGTTTAAAATGTCTAAATATACAAATTACTGTTTTTGTTATCTATTTACTGTTACTTCTTTTCACTAAAACTGAGTTATTCATATAATTTTTCTGTTTACAGCTTAAATACTTACAAAATGATTATTTTGACTGTTTGGCTTATACAGATATTAAGAAGATGTGGTATGAGTGCCAATGAGACAACTCTCAATCCATGTCACAATTTGTAAAAGTAAACCATTATAGGTCAAAGTAGGGCCTTCAACATGGAGCCTTGGCTCACACCGAACAGCAAGCTATACAGGATCCCAAAAATGACTATTGTAAAACCATTCAAACAGGAAAACCAACAGTCTAATCTATATAAAAAACTAGAAATGAGAAACACTTATGAACCACATCAACAAACAACAACCACTGACCATCAGATTCCTGACTTAGGACAGGTGCAAACAAACGCAGCGGGTTTAAACATTTTAATAGGCGCCATCCTTCAACCTGTGTAACATCACAACATAGCAAACACACTATAAAATATCAATTGAAATGTCTTAACTCAATCAAAAGACATATTAACAAAAACACGTGAACATACACTGAACAAATAAATTTGATCTATGATACAATGTAAATACAAAATTAATAAAACAAGGGGGTTAGATGTAAAACAATATCAAAAAGACAACCATAATTATCTTGGACAAAATACCGCCAAATAAAGTAAGTTTGTTTAAAGGATCGATGAGTTTACACGGATCACATAGTGATTTCCACGCTTTTTAGTACAATATTACCATAAAATTTAGGATGTGAAATACCATTTTTAATCAGTTTTCTACAGGAACAGCCAAATTGACTAATCAATCTATTGTATCTATGGAAGAATTTAGTAAAAGTTTTAAGCAATTTATGGTAACGAAATCCCTGACTTAATTAGTTTATCTGATTTAACTGATATTTTATATATATATATATATATATACTTATATGATCTGTTTTAATCATATGCACCTTTTTATTCTCAAATCATTCATTCTGACCATTCATACAAAATCATCTATATAATGCATTCATATCAGTGTATTTGTAGGATTGTGAGATATAAGTTTTATAAAATCAAAGATGTCCACCAAATTCTGAATACAAATTATATCCGACACAAAGAACAGCATAACACCATTCAGTTAAAAATATAAGCAAATTCTAACAAAACAAAAGAATTTCCCTCCAAAATAGACATATAAACAAATTATTATTTAAAGAAGAGAGAGTTTTCATAAAGCAAACTAGTGGAGCGCTCACAAACATGTTTAACCCCATCACATTCTTTATGTGCCTGCCCTAAGTCAGGAGCCTGTAGTTCAGTGGTTGTCGTTGGTTCATGTCTATCATATTTGTTTTTTATACGACCGCAAAAAATTTTTGCGGTCGTATATTGGTATGACGTTGGCGTCATTGTCGTCCGAAGACACATTGGTTTTCGCACTATAACTTTAGTTTAAGTGAATGGATCTCTATGAAATTTTACCATAAGGTTAAATACCACAAAAGGAAGGTGGGGATTGATTGGGGGTTATGGTACCAACAGTTAAGGAATTAGGGGCCAAAAATAAGCATTTTCTAGTTTCCAGACAATAACTTGTGGAACAGTGTATGGATCTCTCTGAAATTATACCACAAGTTTCCATACCAGAAAGGGATGGTTAGGATTTGCTTTGGGGGGTTATGGCTCAAACCGTTTAGGAATTAGGGGCAAAAAAGGGGGAAAAACAAGGTTGTCCTGGTTAATGGACAAATACTTTAGTACAAAACATAATTTAAAGCAGTGTAAGGGAGATAAATCAAATACATCATTTGAATTACCTCCCTTACACTGCTTTTAAATTATGTATAAAGTAATGGCTAATGAACAATTAAGACAATTTAACAGCAGTGTAAGGGAGGTAATCCAAATACAACATTTTGATTACTTCCCTTACACTGCTTTTAAATTATGTTTAAAGAAATGGTAAATTTAAATGTGTAATTATGGTTGCAAACTCCATTGGAAATTTGAATTGAGATTATGACCATATCTTGAGGGAAAGAATTTTTTGGGGTTAAAAGAAATTGTGGGGGGTCAATTTTTTCTCATTTCAGATTTCAGAAATTTAAAAGAATTATTCTTCAAATATTATTTTTTTTTCAAATTTCAAATATGAAAAATTTCAAGAAGTAATCTTTAATTGCACAGTATGGCGCATTAGATTTGTAAAATCTTTGACCACATTTATTTCTTGGTATGCCGAATCTAACCATGTATTTAGATTTTTAATTTTGGGTCCAGTCATTAAGGTCCAAAGGGTCCAAAATTAAACTTAGTTTGATTATAACAAAAATTGAATATATGGGGTTCTTTGATATGCTAAATCTAAACATTTATTTAGATTTTTGATTATGGGCCCAGTTTTCAAGTTGGTCCAAATTGGGGTCTAAAATTAAACTTTGTTTGATTTCAACAAAAATTGAATATATGGAGTTCTTTGATATGCTGAATATAACCATGTATTTAGATTTTTTATTTGTTGGGGCCCGCTATCAGGCTTCAGACCACAATTAATTCCCTTTGTTCGTGGTCTTGGAATATAGTTCCCAATTATTATATGGGGTATTTCTTCCTAAGTATTCTGTATACTGTTTTCTTTGAATTACTATTTAAGTGATCCTATCAGTTGCATATATATTGAAATAAGTAAAACATGTGGATAAAATTTATTGTTGAAAGTGAAAGTAGTGATTTGGCCAAAATGAAAGTAGGGTAGAAATTAGCCTTAGTCATTTATTCAAGATTCAAATCCTACCATTGGCATGTTAATAGGGCTCTCAAAAGAAAAAGCACTGATGGATTGTCCTGGGACAAGCATATTTTATTAGAATAATAATGGTCTATAAGCAGTTAAATTTATTTCAGGTTTGAAGTGGTGCAAATTTTTTAATTCAATTTGACTTTTACCAAAAAATGCATTGTAGCAAAGGGGAAGAATAATTGTGGTCTGAGGCCTAGGAGATGAGTTTGGACAAAACACAATTATTGGGAATAAAGGGTCTAACAGGTACAAAATGATCTTTGTCAGATTACTTTCAAGAAAGAAAATAGAAATTACACAAAAAAATAGTTGACCTATTGCTTATAGTTTAAGAAAAAAGAACAAAACACATAAACTTAACACTGAGCAATGAACCGTGAAAATGAGGTCAAGGTCAAATAAAACCTGCAAGACTGACATGCACATCATAAAATATTTCCATACACCAAATATAGTTAACCTATTGCATATAGTATTAGAAAATAAGCCCAAAACTCAAAAACTTAACTTTGACCACTAAACCATGAAAATGAGGTCAAGGTCAGATGACACCTGCCAGTTGGACATGTACACCTTACAATCCTTCCATACACCAAATATAGTAGACCTATTGCATACAGTATAAGACAAACAGACCAAAACACAAAAACTTAACTATAACCACTGAACCATAAAAATGAGGTCAAGGTCAGATGACACCTGCCAGTTGGACATGTACACCTTACAATCCTTCCATACACCAAATATACTAGACCTATTGCTTATAGTATCTGAGATATGGACTTAACCACCAAAACTTAACCTTGTTCACTGATCCATGAAATGAGGTTGAGGTCAAGTGAAAACTGTCTGACGGGCATAAGGACCTTGCAAGGTACGCACATACAAATTATAGTTATCCTTTTACTCATTATAAGAGAGAAATTAACATTACAAAAAAAAATTACTTTTTTTTCAAGTAGTCACTGAACCATAAAAATGAGGTCAAGTACAATGGACATGTGACAGACAGAAACTTCGTAACATAAGGCATCTATATACAAAATAT